CTAGCATGGGTCCTACGGCAGTTTCACTCATGTCGGGGGTCGGCTCATGTCTTCTTCCAAGAGAATTGGTGATTTATCTTCACCCTTTCGCACCGTTACATTTTCAAAAAGTGTTCTGATTTTCTTTTCTAGGAGTGTTATTTATTTTTCAAGGTTGTTTCTTTTTCTAAAAGTAGGTAATTTTTAGTTTCCTATTCTTTGTTTCTGAATTTATCATTTTGCCTCCAGGAAGTCCTCTAAGCACTGGTAGTAGCAAAATTTGGCTCGCGAAGCGAGCCAACAGTTACTCGCGGAGCGAGTAACTGGGGGTCCAGGGGGCTTGCCCCCGGCTAGCGGCGCAAGCGAGCGTAGCGAGCTGAAGCAGCTAGTTTATTTATGATTTTCCAAGGCCAAGGGGGAAGAAATTCGTTTTTATCCTCAGATTCGCTCCTGAAAAAAGGGAGAAGTTTTATGTCTCCAAGTCAAACATTCAAAATGATCTGCGAAACGCAGCGCAAGTTTATTTCTGCGTCGAATGCCAACATCGTTGATGCTTTTTTGAGAAAATATTCATGCAATGCAAGATAAATGCACGAATCGAGCTTCGGGCAATCGGTTTTGCCATTGCGTATGTAATTGCGCATTTTTCTGAAATTGAGAGTTCATTTTTGAGGCAATCATCGACGCGTAAAACGTAAAGGATAAGTTGTGTGAGTCGTAGTATCGTATTCTCGTGTTTCAATCTTGTAGATCAGCAAAAATAATAGGATGAGTGTGAACGCAAAGTTTCTAAAATCAATATTAACAGATGTATCGCCATTTTAAGAGAACAGGTTAAGACGTCATTCATAGTGATAGTCCATTCCATGAGTCATTTCTTCCACCATGGTTTCATCAGTGATCGATTAATACGTTTGCAATCTTTACACATTCATTCCATGACACAAACAGGGCCGGATTTACATTTTTAGCGCCCTAGGCTAAACTTAAGGTGGCGCCCCTAAAAGTAGGCGCTCTCGTGGGGGGCGGGGTGGTCCCCCAGACGCCCCTCCCCTCCAGATCAGAAGAAGGATGTTAGGAGTCCGGAAAATGTTCAAATTCACCTTTAAAAAAACACCTTTGTCAACCACAATTTGTAGAATCTGTGTCCCAAAATACCATAGACTTACGGCCGGCTGTAAGATTTTCAATAGCTTCTATAGCCGGCAACACAATTTCTTATAGCCTTTTATAGCCGACGGCGACCAAGCGACAGCCTGGCGATAAAGTGTATGCTAAACGTTACTAATTACGGATGCTAGGACTTAGTGAGTTTTTGGACTACCGCTCTCTTTTTGGGTCGTAGTATCTTAATTTATTTTGCGAGGAAACTTACTTTTGATGGATGCCTGCCATTCCTAACATGTTGGAGCGCCTTCAGTTTCGTATGATACTGTGCAATACCTCTCGTGTGAAATAGTTGCTTCAAGCGCCGTGGTACGCTGCGGCGCGGCGCGGCGGGCGGGCAGCCAGCGCGAAACGCGCATTGGCGCCTTCAAACCTGAAAGGGAAACTTCACGCATTGCGCACTGCGTGAAGTATCCCTGTTAGGTTTGAAGGCGCCAGTACGCCGCCACTCTGCTTTGTGTTAGGCTCTAATATTTAAGCTCGTTGAGTCAGCGTTTTTCAACTCATAACTTTGAAATGTTTGCACACTCTGTATGGATTATTCTCATTTTAATTGATGAAAAAAAATATGTAGTAAAGGAAAATTTAATGTGTGTTTTGTGAATATTAAGGTGATTTCGTACAAACTTAGGGATTTACAAAGCACACGAATTTCTACACAATTTCTTATAGCCTTTTATAATCGATGGCGAAAAAGCAACAGCCAGGCGATAAAGTGTAAAGCCCGACTATAGGAACTATAGCCCGCCTGTATAATTTTTTATCGCTTCGTATAGCCCGGCCGTATGATTTTCTCCGCATTCTACAGCCAGATATATGATTTTCTGTTGCCTTCTTTAGCCGGCTAAAAGAATTCCTATGGTATTTTGAAACGCAGCGCTTATCTCCAATTTTTACCAGGGTTTTGAATAAATTCTCAAAAATGTTGCGCCCCTCAAAATGTTGCGCCCTAGGCTATAGCCTATGTAGCCTATTGGTAAATCCGGCCCTGGACACAAAAGTAAGAAGGATTAAACCGCAATGTTCACAACAATGGCGGGTGATGCCAAACATCCTATTATCTCCTTTGATTTTAAACGTAGATACATGGCGTTTGCACAATTCATTTTATTTCTTGCTAATCTGCAAAATATTTAAATCAAAACACGATTCTGTGACATATTTTACTCAGCCATTGGCTTTATTTTCAATGTGTTCCTTGCCGGAACTCAGTTACTCAGTGGCAAAACTACTGGTCTTAAGCGGCTCGAATTGTCATCACAATAATCGAAGGCGGAATCGACTGATTGATTGAGCTATCCGTATTAGTAAAATTTCCCGAGTTTGCTATTTGAACATAACATTAGATTTAGGGAACTTAAGTCAGGCATATCAAAACAACAGGTATTATTTTTTTTTGCGAAAGACATTGTATTTATTACCGACATCTCATATTCGATCGTTACGAGGTGGTAAACGATTAAATAACGTTTATTTACATTTATACACATATTTTAAGTACAAAGTTTTATTTTACAAAGGTGCAACATAAAAAAAAAAGAAGAAAATAAGCACTGAATGTATCCACCTCCCTATCAGTTTAATAATGGTTCATTTCAATTGACCGCATAATTGGCTGAGATTTCGATATGTGTAGGTAAATTACATTCAAAACATTTCTGTAAGAGTGAATGGATCATTTTCATTGAATAATTAGCAGAATCTTGCTCTTGTACATTATTGTGTACTTTGATGGCGTTAGAAAAAAAAAAAAAAAAAAAAAAAAAAAAAAAATAATATAACTAGAAATTTGCGTAAACTTTAAACTCAAGATGATCATTTGAATAAATTAACAACCATCAATATTTAAATCATGCTTAAACCTGGTTTTTAATTCTTTGTTTAAAAAAACCAAACATAAAAACTATCATACAGAAAATAATTTGAACAAAAACAAAAAACAATAATCAAGATAGCATCATGAATGATACTTTGAAAGAGGAGAAAATAAAAATGTGACTTAGACTACCCAAAAACCTAACAATAAACAGGCATAGGGTACAACTTTAACAGAAAAAAATTAAAGAGAAAAAAAAAACGGGGAAAATGAAAAAATTAAATAAGACTTTAACAATAAGAATTTTACTAAATTAAAATTAAAAATTATTTATTAGAAATTTAACTTAAATAATAATTTTGATTTTATGCCGTAATGAAAATTACGTAGGTATAAGTATATTTCAATCTAACAGTCAAACATTTGAAAAAGGAAAGAATTAAGTCTCGATTATGAGCAATAAAAATTTCCTTGAAGCTATTGACTAGTATGTGTTCAAATTTTGTCTAAATTGGAAAGTTTTGAATTAATTTCATGGTGATCAGGCTAAAAAATCCTTGATTTGCTAAAAAAAAACCATAACCATCGATTGAAGGTGAATGTTAATTGAATCTATATCACATTACTCGAGTTAGATAGTTTATAGATTTTTGGCGTGATTTTGTTTCATTAAACGCTTTTAGTTTTTGAAAATTTCTCCCTGACACTTACAAATAAAAGTTTGTATCGGTGCAATTTAAAGTTATTTGTAGTCGAAACAGTGTTAAGTATTTCGGCTATCAAAAATAGTCAATACCTTCCTAAAGTTCGAAAAAAAGTTGTGAACAAAAAAAGAATTATTAAAAAGCATGAAGATTTTTTGATGTACGTCGATTAGCTTTACAACAAATACTCTATGAAAAACAAAGTAATGAGTCATAAACGTAAGAAATAATTTGTAGAAATAATCATTTTTCGATTCAATGGATACAAGGTTGTCGAATTTTTTCACCTTCAAAATTATCTGAGAATGTTTTTACACGAAATAAGTACTAATACAGTATCAGATATCGTGAGATCTAGTGCTGGAATTATTCAAGTAAGTTTCATTGAAAGGAAAACTTCGTTGCAACAAAAATGATCTATAACCACCGCACGCACTTCTCGGATAGAAATGAACCTCGAAAATGAAGAAATCCTCAATTTTTGAGCTGACGCATTTCATTTTCCCAAAAGTACAGTTTGTGTCTCAAATTAGGCTAATTTCAGTTTGACTCTCCTTTACAAAAGAGGGATTTTCTTCGATTTCCTTTCAATTTCGAGGCTCTAGTAACAAATCATCCGCTTATAAAACGGGATGAAGAATCCAATGGGTAAGCGTGACATCCATCACATGGAAGTGCAGAGAGAAACTACGTAGAATATGATGGCATATTTACAAAAAAAATCCGACTGCATGTAATTTTACTCTGGGATACGCTTAAATTTTAATTTGAGTTATTTTTAATCTGTTGGAAAAAAAAACATTTGATTCCTTCACTTGTTCAAATTTCTATAAATTGATCTAACTTTCCGAAGCTAATTAATCTAAGTGTTATTGAAAGTCCTTGATATTCAAGTGAAAAAGGGGTGTGGGGCGGTTTCTGAGAGATGATGCGAATATGGTAACTGATTACCTCTTTACACAGGTATTCTCAACTTATGAAATTCACCTTTCAAATGAAATTAAATGACACCTGTTACTTTTGAGTTTCGCAACTCAAAACGGATTCTAAAAATGCCGAAAGAGGAAGTGTATGTCACCTTGGCTATATCAGGCTGACTATTTTTTCTAGAACTTTGATTGAGATCATGATGAATAGTTTTTTGTTGATGTCTTGACGATGTTATTGGGTTATATTTTTCTTGATGGACTGACCCAAACATCCTCTTAGTGATTTTTTGGTCAAAATTTAAAAATAAGTATTTCATACATAGTTTTGATCATACCTTTAATATAAATACCTATGTCTGCCTGCTATCCTCTCAAACGATGCGATTTTTTATCATATTTTTTTGAAGTATTAAGCAGTGCCCTCGTTGTATTTAAATCGTTGTATTCAAATGTTTACTTTGTCTTTTTCTCTTTTTTTCTCCAAGAGAGCACATTTTACTCCATGGGAAGTATATTTGCAGTTGTTGCATTAATATTAGAGTTTGTAAAAGCTAAGCACAATGCATCAAATAATAGTGCCTTTAAGTGCAAGAGGCAAATATAAACAGGTCAATTTTGTATTACTCTGTCATGCTGTATTCCTAATTTCTTCTCTTGAAATAGCCTCCTCCACTGTATTTACTCGCCGTATAGACCACAACTCATTTCATCTTAAATAAATAAATCGCAAGCACTCGTACGACTCACTCTGTCTGTAAAAAGGAAATTGTTATAATGAATCAACTAACTTTTCAAAGGTAAAACATTCTCCAACTCTTTTATTTTAGTCAGTGCATGCAGAAAATTCTATCTATAATATTCAGCGTGGAACGACTCTCATCTCAAATATCTCGTTACTCTCTTAAGAATATGTAGCAGTTAGGTAGCTTTTATAGGTGCTGACTTTAATACTGTTGGCTCTCTCAGAGACACTCTCTCCATCTGAATCGGTGGTCACAACAAATATTAAAAGGCAGAGTTTTCTCCTGAAGAAGTAGAGACTCGAGACAATGCCGAGTTAAATTGACCTCGGTATAATTCAGCAATTAATGATTGTGCAAATTCGTGTCTGGCCTGTTACCGCCTATCTCTTTCGGCATTTCCTTGAAGAAAAAAAAAAAAACAAAAGAGAAAAGTAAACGTCACTGAAATTTGAGTATTTAGAAGAGAGTCAAAAATAACAAGTACTAGAGGGAATACGTAGATTGAAAATGTATAACCTACCCTCCAACATTCATCTTAAAGTTCTTTTTTGCTAATGGAGTAGATAGATAGAATGGCTTCGTTGTATTTTTCAATGGATCTACTAATTGAGGCACATACTCCCTATCTCTATAATTACCCCCGATTCAAGCAAATGGTGGAAATGCTAATTACGTTTTAATGCCGTTTTGAACAATATTCTCATTGAAATGTTTGAGCATCAATGAAACAGTGGGATCATTCAAAATTATATAAATGAAAAGACATTCACCAATAAAGTATTAAATATCTTCATAACACCGACCTGTTTGTTTTTAAAGCCGGAGAAGAAAAACAGAGCGAAATTCTAGGATGAATAATGAAAAGATAAGAAGTGGTTCGGTGTTAAGTATAAATTAACAATTTTATTAAGAAAACAGAAATAGTGAGATGGTTTGAAAACTTAATAATTAAGTAGGTAATTATCTATGAATCCACAAAAATGACCTGCACATCCACTTGGCAGTTACATAACATTATTAATTTAGTTTATAATACAATATTGACGGAAAATGCACGGCTTAAAAACTATACAAAATTGAACGAAGATGATGAATCAAGGTTAAACAAGCTAAGGTTGTTGCAGCAGCAATGTCTCTAGCTCGTCTGCAGATCGGAGTAAAAATGCTGCTGATTCTCTGTATCCGGTGATAAGTTGACGCACAGCAGCCATTTCTGCTGGGCTCAGTTTATGATTTAATAAGGGTTTTGAGGCTTGCTTCATGCTTAGGTCGGTGGGTCCTGCGTGAAAAAAAAAAATTGAATCAGCTAATGAAAGGCAACTCGAAATAAATTGTGTTGTTCTCGGGCTTAATATTTGAAATTATCGAGTTAAGATTGTAAATTTAAGATGGTTTGGGCGGTCTACAATCAATTTAATAAGTGTTAAGCTACTCAGACTGTGCGATGAAATTCTCAATTGTTGTCTACGCTTTTTTTGCACAATTACACGTAATTATTAAAATAGCTTTAAAAAATAGGGGAATTTTCAAGAGAGGCGTTGCAGGCATCACTGGCTATCATCATGAGAGCCGCACTGGAGTCAATGTTATCTTTTCTTGTGCGGTAATGCTTTGAAGAGAAAAAAACGCCTTCAAATTGCAATGATACAAGTAGCTATACAGCATAGATTGCTGGTATTCACACGGTTTGCAGGAGATATGTGTGTCTCACTATTAATAATTCCGTTCGCGTTGATGATACGATGATACATAAACAGTTACAGACTTTAATTGAGTCTCTGCAACACCTATCACTTTAAATAAAATAAAATAAAAAAAGGAGAAGAAAAGTTCGGCTGCAGTAATTCAAACCAGCAGAAATTTTGAGGAAATGTGCATAGTGAAAAGCGGCCAGAAAATTAGGATTCCTTTTCTCAAAGGTTTATGGTCGTCACATGGTCCATGGTGAGCTTCCTATACTTTTATCTTCCGATGTTTTACACTTTTGGTTTGGAGGTCCAATTTATTACTGCACCCATGAGACAAAATGCTAGTTACGTGTGGAAAGCCTCTTTTTTTATTCCCGCATCAAACTACTAAAAACTGAAAAGGACACGGAGAATTCTCTCATCTGCACTGCCGTGCTAAGGAAGAACGCCGTTATGAGCCTCTAGGCGTTGCCAAGTTGCCGTTGATAAAATACCAATGTACTGGGCAAGTTATGAATATTTTTCTTCCAATTTTTCAGGCAACATTGTTCGCAGATTAATCTTAAATATCTGAAAATTTCTTGGAAAAATATGCATAACTTCCCTCTGAAAACAACATTTTATTCGGGGAAATTTGGCGACTCTCGAATGTTCATACGGCGTTCTTCCTTAGCACGGCAGTGCACTCAACACCATACATTCTGCTGTATTCACAAGTCTTGCATTTTTGCATAAAATTGCAAGAAAAAAAATAAAGGAAAACCTGATGAAAGAGATTGCAAAAAAAAATTTGGAAAATCTTACCGTTCCCCATCATTCCTGCTGGGCCAAATGGGGAGGCTGAAAACATGTTCGGGCTGGCGCCCGCGTATATGCTTGTTTGGCTGGAAACACCACGAGGAGAAAATGCCTGACTGAAAGCAGGGTTGGGTCTGTACAAGGGTGATGCTTCCATCCGAGAAACTACTGGAGAGCCATTTAAAGCACTGCTACTGCTCAGGGAACTAAAAAAAGAAAACATTTTTTCATTAGATTTATGTAAATTTTACAAATAAAATCATGAACGTAGTTATGCTTTATGTTATTTTTTTAGATAGGCGAAACATATTTACATTTAAATTCAACCAAAGTGCTGTAGGTACGTCTATGCTGTTTAATTTTTATTTGAGGAGAGAGTATCTCCCTAATTTCGTGATTATCAAGTTGCATTAATTGCATGCAAACGTATTTTTACTCAAATGTATCAAAAAGTTGGTCAATTAAAGCTCAGATTTTTAAGTAAAGATCAAGACACAGGCATCAGACCAGTTTTAACAAATTTTATAGGAAGTGACACCCACTCTTTGGGAATCTGAGGTATCCTTAAACCTATCTCTGTGTAGACGATGCCTCCCATTTATGTGAAATGAACGAAAAAATTATGAAAGAACAAACATAAATGTAGTTAATAATTTTAACTTCCGCCGCCGCGCCGCGCTGACCGCACTGTGTTTGGCGCAATGGGTGAAGTATTCCTACACTCCTGTATGCGCTGTACGTTTCACGCCGACCGGTCCGCTGCTGCACGCACTGCGTTTGACGCAATGCGCGAAGTATTCATGCAGTCTTGTAGGCGCTATGCGTTTCTCGCTGCCCGCTGCTGACCACAGCGACCGCACTGTCTATAATGCAATGCGTGGAGTATTCATGCAGTCTTGTAGGCGCTAATATGTGTTACATGCCGACCGCCGCGCCGCGCCGTGAGTTTCTCCTTTTCATCTCAAGTTCTCGTCATCATTGCTTTCTGCGCCGTGCCATTCCAGGCCAAATTCCGTTTTCGGTTTCTCTCTTGGTCTTAACTCGACTAATCAAAGGCACTGTCCATTATATCACAGAACGACGACAAAATTAGAGATATACTCTCAGGGAATGAGAGATTTCGTCACCTTTTCTCATTTGTAATTTTTTTTCTGAATCCGATTTTTCTTTAATGCTACATCTGAAGAAATTGCAAAATTTCCCGCCCCCTAAATCCGACCCTGTTCACAATTGTACCTAAAGATTCTGAAAATGTAAAGGACAAATATTCATAACTTTCCTTAAAAATTTCCATTTCATGGAAGAAAATTTGGCAACTCTCGAATGCTCATACGATGTTTTTCCTTACTAAGGCAGTATTGGACGAAAGACGTGGGTGCGAAAAAATGAAACGTACCTTCGACTATTTGTTGTTTTCGATGAACTATGATCACTATTTATGGAGGTGGCGGTGAGCCCTTTCGTAAAATTGAGAACGTCTTTGATATTGTTATTGTTGGCGATATTGTTATTATTATTAATGAGATGCTGTTGGAGGACGGTTTTGCCGCTGCCACCGGCGCCGGGCGGCTCCTTCGTCTCCGTGGAGGCTGTGTCCGTTTGGCTGATGGAGGTGTTGCTCCCGCTGCTCGGCGTGTTGTTGTTCAGCGACGAGGTCGTCGTCGTCGTCAGAGACGAGGATGAGAAGTGGTCGATTGGTCGCGGCTGCTCCGTCTGAAAAACAATCCATTTCAGCATTTTAGGAAACATTCCTTTAAATAAAACTACAAAAAAACGAAAAATTATATTCCGCGGAAAAGTGCAATGTTTACAGTGTATTCTGCTAAGAGTGAAGAAAACTCAAGGAAATGTTCAAGAAATTACGTCATCTAGTTTTTCGAAAAGCGGCAAAAATGATAGGAAGTCTATGACGTCGCAAAATGGAGATACGTGGTTTCTTACTTTAACCATCGACTTCACTCTTATAAGATTTTACCTTTACTCGTTTAATGTAACACCTAAAACTGTTGAACTGAAGCAGACTTTAATTTTGTGGACTGGTTCATGATGGTTTCGTTTAGCAAGTAAGGGATGAGTCACCTACGGCCAGAGAACACTCCTCGAAACTCCCTTGACTAAGAAACCTTGAAATTCTCTCACAAAGTATGGATAGAAAAAACACGTTAGTTACTCTATACGAGGCTCCAAAGTCAAGAAGATTCCGATAAACGTCATCAAACTCCGGCTAGAGCTACTATGAGCAATAGATGCCGAACTCGTATCCTGTTTTTTTTTTTTTTTTTTTTTTTTTTTTTTTTTTTATTTATTTTTCTGGGATCCTCACTCATCGTTGTTTTCTCCGTTTAGACAGTGGCATCATTCTCTGCTCTCTTGAGCGCTCAAAACAAAAATAAGTTACCTGGCCTGGTAATACGGGCATTGGTTGACTCACAGGTTCAAGTCCAAGGCGCATTCTTTTCGCATTATGACTTTCGTTTTCACAAGCTTGCGCTAGTATTTGTTCAGCTTGTACACTGGTTAGATGAGCAGGTGTTGGTCGATTCTGGAAAAGTCAAACGTTCATTTTCCTTTAGTTGAAGACATTTCAAAACATCCGAGGACAAGAAAAATTTAGATAAAGTGGAAAAAATCTGATGAATGCGGTTGAAAAACTTGATCTATGAGTCTGAAATTAACGCTGCTAATATACGGACCGAGATTACGCTTATAACCTCTAATTGATTTGCATATTTAATCGGCGAAATTCCATCAGCCGGGGAGCTCTATATCGAAGCGCATCCTTATTAGAGAAATGCCGAGTAACTACCTTGGAATTAAGGACATCAAAGGTAAAGGATAGTTAATCAGGGAGGCAGAGTAATCATAAATTAGAGGCGCTTAAAATTAGATGATGTAAATGTCCTTGCGATATTGGCAAAGTGAGTGAATCACTCAGGTTCGCTACTGAAGGATAAGGATGTTTTATGATATTTTTTTGAGTAAGTGGCAACGCTGGACAAGTTAGAAATACATGAGTTTTACTTACTGCTTCTGGCCAATTTCCAGGATCTCGCGCTCTTTTATTCCTACGACAGGATTTTAGATATGTTCGGATTCTTTTCCTTGCTCGCTCAGCGAATTCAGGAAATTGCCGCGTACACGAGTCTATGATGGCTTGGATTTTCTCCTTAGGTTGTTTTGATATCGGGACGATTCGATCCAAATTTTCGTCGACGAATAGTCTAACAAACATCTGAAACATATTAACAGATTCGAGGAGTTAAATTACCATATTGGGGATCCCCATTTCGGGTGCCTCAAGGCACATACGGGCAGTCAGGCGCACAATTAGGTTTAATTGGACTGCACTTTGAAATTAGGAACTAAAAATACCGGCCCGGTTTAAAAACAACGTATGTGCCATTAGTTTCCCTATGCACATAAGTGTTTTTTCAGATGAGCCAGAATTTATAGTTCCAAATTGCAAAATGTAGTCCAATTGTTTCGTCAACATTTTCAAGAATGACGGCGTTGTTGCGTTTCAACTTAATTTATATAAAGATCCAAATCGCTAGGATAATAATTAAAAATGCCTTAAGCGCCAACTTATGTAATAAAAGATAGAAAATTGTGTTTTCTAGAGGGTGATTAACCATCACGCTTATTTTGAATTTAATTCCTCGCTTTGCATTTTTTTCTTCGTTTCTTTTCTCTGTTCATATAATTTTTTCCCTAAATGGCTAATGAAGATTTATGAACATTAGGGTTTCTTACAAAACTAAATTAGGACGATACAAAAAACACACTTCAACCGTGCAAGAAAAAATATTGAATCGAAAATTTTTGAGGTAGACATATTTCTAAATGTAAAACAAGGGTAAACTCAGCGGTATGAGAGAGTGCGTTTTAAATACGCGCCATATCAGTTGTGATTGATTGTACGTTTTGTGTTTCCTGCACATGTTGCAATTTTCATGTGAATTTAACTAATACACGAGTAGCATAAATCCCTCGCGGTTAAAAGAGAAGAAAAAAGCTTAAAAGAATCTGACTTAAATTTTCCATTAGATGTGCATCGAAGATTTCCAGTGCCTGATTCTGTAATGTACAAAGAAAATGTGTACACAGTCTTTACGACGTCATTGAAATGAGCTTTACCTGACCGTGCTCCAAGAGCATAAACTACGAAAATAAAACTTACATTAAATGCTTTCAATCGCTCAGGATCATGAGGTAGAGTTTTCAAGTCATCAACGTCTTCTTCATCCTCGTCTTCGTCCTCTTTGTTTCCACTAGATGAGGTCTCATCGTGGACAGAACCCGTTTCTTGTAGGATGACAGGACTCTGCAAAAATGAGAATTTCGTAAGTCAATATTCGCTCGAAAAACTATTCATTTTTATTCATACAGTCTTTGATAGTGTGATTTCCCAAAAGACTTGCTTAGTAAAAATTATGCGCGCCATTCCACACTTCCGTTCCATGGAACAGATTGAGGCTTTGCAAATCATTTTGTGAGGTTGACCACCAAATCGAAATGCCGCTTAATGCTTTTCTTTACAATGAAATATTTTCGCAATGTCCATATATGGTGCGTATGATTGGTAACTTAATTACACCGCATTTAATTGTGGTGGTCTTAGGATGCGCATTACTGGCGCGGAAAATCAATTGTTGCATGCCCTGCAGGGTTTATGCCTGGAGCCCAACTCTCGAAAAATGTTGGAACGCATTTCCATTAAAATGCAAAGTTTGGTTATGTCAGTCATAGACGTTGTAAAGGCCTAGATACATACGGCGGTTAATCGCCGCGAGTAAAAGGCAAAAGCCAATGGAGAGCCTTGATTTCGATCCATTGACGTCGACGTATCGAAATCAAGGCTCTCCATTGGCTTTCGTCTTTCACTCGCGGCGATTAATCGCCGTGTGTATCTAGGCCTTTGAGGCGGGGAGTGATAAAACTAGAGGCCCTTTTTGTTTTTAAAACAAGGCCGTCTTCCATTCCAGGTCCACGACTGCAAAAACAAGTTATCAAATAAACGGATGAAGACTATTGAGTGTTCAACATTAGAAATTAAAGTGTTGAAAAGAAAATGACGCCTAAGCGTTAATAATTTTTCCTCCTATTTACGTAACTATTTTATTTAATTCTTCAAAGAACAGCCAAAGTTTCTTTGTACAGAGAGAGGAAACGATCATTTCATCCTAAAGGATAAAAAGAGAAGAAAACGCCTTCAAAATCCAAGATGCAACTAATCGTGTTCGACGGCTAGCTGCTTTGCATATGCTACGTATTGAAGGCTTCTTTCACTTTTACAACGACGAGTCATACCAAGCCGCCTCTATATCAAATAAGTTACATCGATAGGCAATAAGAATAAGGAACCTTTCGCGCAACCCTCTTTTCAATTACGAGGCGTCACCTTACTCTAGTCATTCTAAAAAAGAAGTGCTTTGAACTTACGGAAAGATCTCTGGACCCGGGAGGTGTCGAAGTCGATTTTTTGAGACCAAGAGGATAGCTAGGCCAAAGACCGCCACCGCCCATTTCTTCTCCAGGTAAATCCTCTGATAACCGTAATTCCCCGTTGCGCGCTGAAACAAATAAAATAATGTTGGTTTATTAATCCATAATAATTTTAAGTACATTCAAATTATCAAATTTAATGCTTAACACAAATAAAAGAAACTCAAAGAGTTTTAGCGCTGTCACTTTAGTAGTAAAACGGCACAAATTAACATTATAAACCTAAATTATTAGTAACAAACAGTAACCGTTCGTTTAGTCGAATTCTCGGGGGACCAATGAAAATTTCGACATAAGCTCGTTTCTCCGCTTAACTCGCGATTGCGTGAAAATCGTAGAAATTCGACTCAAACGCCAATGCCGCCGCGAAATTTTTTTGTCAGCACTTTTTGTGTGCAACATACATGCGCTGATACATAACATACATAACATGGCTGATTGTTGAAATTAATAAATAAACAAAGCAATGGACGAGGAATACACTGAGAAAATGATGCGTTCCTATTAGTTGTAATACACAAATGAGGTAAGTAATAGACTAGTTAAGGGCAACACTCGAGGATCCTATGGTTAATCCATTATTATTTCCCCTTCAGTCTATAAAAATTGCTGGTTTCAACCAATAGAATCGCTCCACTTCCTTTTTGTCTATATCTTGGTCGATCAATTTAACTAATCAGCGGGCTGATTAATCAAAGTGATAGACAAAGCGATAGACATAAACGACAGAGGCTTCATTGAGCGATCCTATGAGTGGAAGCGAGTGGCTGCAATGGACAAAGAGGGTTAGTAATAGACTAAGTAACGGCAACCGACAAGAGACCCTACAGTTAATTCATTATTAACCCCCTTAGTCTACAGGAACCGCGATTTCAACCAATAGGATCGCTCCATAGTCCCTGTGTCTTCTTTGTCTATCAATTTCAATATTCAGCCCGCAGTTTGCTGAAGTAAAGTTGAAAAAACTGCCGCATAAATAAAAGGGAGGCTTTCGGGACCTAAGTCTGGAGCGAGGGGGAGTAGGAAGGGGGCGCACAGTGGATCGAGTTAATTAGAAAGGCCGAACATGGAATTTTTGACAAAAACTGCGAATTTTGATGTTTATATCGCCTTATTTGAAAGTTTAAGGGGTGCTACTAGAGGATAATTTCATGGGAAAACCAATGGAGCCACTTGTAGAACCTCAAAGTTTGGCATAACCGGAGTTATGAGCGTTTAAAGTTTCGAAATTTTGTCCGAGCTCTCCTACTGACTTGATTCACTGTGAGGCGGAGGGGGAGGGGGAGGCTGGAGACGAAGACTGGCGGTAATTGCACTCCATTAGAACGTCACGGACGAGTTGGCCAGAGCGCGGATCGGTGGAGCTCCGTTGCAGGTGGTGATTGGATTTGCATAATTAGTGTGCGGAATGCAAACATTTGTTATCATAATTCAGACTCAGCCTCCGAGTCCACTTCTATTTTGATCTATGACGGTTCGATGTCCAAGTCGATGACGACGAGTGGGACGGGACGCGGACTCCGAGGGACGAACACGGACGAGCGGGAGGAGCGCAACTAAGGACCCTTCAAGGGACAACTGTCCCCACCCTTCGCAAAACTTAAACCCCCCACGCTAAGTTGCCGAATCAACAATTTTATCATCTATAAAGCTCCTGGATTTTATCTACCACTAGTGCAGTGCTGCCATTGAGGTTCAGTTACACGATCAAATTGAGCCATCAAACTGAAGCTCTGATTGGTGGAAAAAGACCTGGGACGAGGATGCGACCAATGAGAGGCACAATTTGATGGCTCAATTTGATCGTGTAACTGGACCTTTGTATTTTATCAAAAGATTCCGAAGTAATTCCGATTTCCGGAAACATATTCCGATTTGCCAAATTCCGAAATACGCCCGGATTTAGTTCGAATTTCGGTTGAGTTCAAATTTGATCAAAAAGTCCCTAAATTTGATCGATTAAATGGTCAAACTGGCGAAAATCCGCAAATTTCGAGGAAATTCCGAAAATAGCTGGAAATTCCGGGGATTCAGAGAATTTCGGAAAAAGTTTCGAATTTCGGAATCAGTTCCGGGACGTGGCAGCACTGCACCGGTGTCGAAAATAGAAGATGAATGAAAACTGTGAGAGGTGGTTTAAATCTCACTCTTCTCCTATAGGCTGATTATTGAAATTGATGTACAAAATGACGGACAAAGAAGACGAAGTTAAAAATGGAGCAATCTTACCGGTTGGAACGGGTAGACTCTTATACAGACTATGGGGAAAAGGATGAACTAACTATAGGGTACCTCGTGCGTTGCCGTTAGTTAGTCTATGATTTACTTCTTTTTCCCTTACTACCATCCACGTCCACCGATAGGATCGCTCTATGTTCTCTCTGTCTTCTCTCTCTATAGTTTTGTCAATCAATTTGAATGATCGGCCTAAAATTTTGGAATGCGAATCAAAACCACTTCGCATTTACGAAAAATTAAAATCAGCTTTTTTCCTTGCCAAACCGGCCGCGCTGCAATTCATTGGCTATTCATATTAACCCGCTATTCTTGGTGGTAAATAACTAATGAGTGAAACCTAGGCAACACGCGTACACAAACCTCAGCTTCGTCTTGGAGGTTGGACACTGGTTTGTTGGGATTGGACAGTGGGGAAACGTTTTTGATGGGGTAGACCTCCCCACAACCCGAGGTTTGCAAGAGAAGTCTGCCCTTCATGAAGTTTCCCGATACTCAGAGTAAGTATGCACACAGCAAGCATCTCAGCTTTTGGTCCTTTTTTTGTTTATCTGCAGCTGTTTAATTACTCCGGAGTTTTAACACTTTTGAGCTCCTGAACTTCCTCGAGGAAAATATTGCCGAAAATAAACTCATTTACCTGCCACTCTTCCAATCTTCCCTCTTCTTTCGTCTTTCTCCATTTACCCCTACTCCTACGTACTTCTACTGTTACTTCTCCTTCTTCAATCACAGTTGGTAAGTATTTGTTATAATTTATGTTAGGAGTTTATATCAGACTTTTCAGAAGCGCTTTTCGTGATTTTTGAGCCTAGACACAACACGCTTCTTTTTTGCTCCAGAACGTATTCGATAGCGGTGCGATGTATCGTCTGGTCCAAAACAATAGAACATGTAACCTCAAACCAAAATTCTGATATTTTTGTCGGAAAAGCTGAAAATGAGAAATTTCGTAACACTTTCACTACTCTTGGCCAATAAGTACTCATACGAAAAAATAATCCATCACAAAAAACTGCTAATTTTGATGTTTATTTTGTCATATGGATCGTATTCGATATTGGTTCGATGTGTCGTTTGGTTCAAAACAATAGGACATAACCTCAAACCAATATTCTAGGTTATTTGTCAGAAAAGCTGAAAATGAGAAATTTCGTAACACTTTCACCGCTCTTGGCCAATACGTACTCATGCGAATCAAAAATCTATCACAAAAAACACTGTTCCGTCACATAACTCAATTGACTTTTGAGGCTATGTTTATGTTTTGAACCAATCTATATCGATACAATCTCACCCGTTTGATGTATCGAATACGATCTGCGGCGATTGGTGACTTCATCATTTTTGGAATCTCCTCACTGAGGAAGGGCCGTTACCCGCGGGAGGTGAGAATTTGAGTGACAGCGCTGGGCGTGGGTTTATTCCGTAGAAAGCTGACGATGCAGTCGGCCGAGGCGGAGGGATCGTATCTCTAGACGGCGGCGGCGGCGGCACGGTTATTGGCCGGCTGGACGTCGAAACGGCCGAACAATGCCAGTCGGTTACCGGTCAAAGTGGGCACGGATAGTATAAAAATTCACTCAAATCGGAGCCGTAGCAATTGAAGCGGATTGGCTTTCCGAGAACCGGTACGCGGTGCAATGTGCAATGTGCATTCTACAGGTCGGAGTCGCAGGTCGGTCCTCGGCGACGCTCGTCGTTATTGCTGTCACCAGGCACTGCCTCTCGCTCAATGATCGATTATCGATACGTCTCCATTTGAAACTATGGCAAAGAATCGATTATTAAGGTGTTCGTTGTGAACACCCTGTCTATCGATCCTTTTCCATGGGTTTAAACGACAGATTAATCGATGTATCGCAAAGCACGTCGCGCTGCTGCTCTCGCTCGCTTGATGGACAAGCCGGGTCTCGGGTGAGCCGGAGCCAGACTCAGCATCTCCACGGTAGTGAGGCGGATTTTTGCATCCATCATTCGGAGGATCGATTCATCGAGTCGAAAAGATCGATAGAATCGAATTTGTTCTGGCACACGTAACCATCTTGCTAGAATCGATTTTCTTCTCCTCTGAATACAATCGGAAGGATCGGTCCCAAACCCCACTTTTTGCAATTGGACCAGAAAAGTGACCAAAAATTGCGACGTAAACGCAAAAAGCAACACTGGAAAAAAATCACATTGGATCCAGACTCTTGAAAACATTGACAAGAAAAAGGAATCTTGATTCAATCAGATTTAAATCAAAAGGAAATCCGCTCAAATTAAGATGCTTGGTTCTTGATTTAAGCTTAAATCTGATTGAATCAAGAGTATTTTTTCTTGTCGATGTTTTTAAGAGTCTGGACTCTTCCAATGTGTTTTTTTTCCAGTGAAGGTTTGGAACCAACTTTTTTGATCCGATTTGAAGGAAAACACTCGATTTCAACGAGAGAGGTTAGCGTGCCAGAATTAATTCGATCGTGCTGATCCTTTGAAAAGTGAATTTCTGTGTGAAGTGGTTTTCTGTGATAAACTTTTGATTCGTATGAGTAGCACTTGGCCAAGATTGGTGAAATCGCTACGAAATTTCTCATTTTCATTTTTACTGACAAATATCTTAAAATTTTGGTTTGAGGTTATGTTCTATTGTTTTGATCCAAACGATACATCGAATCACTATCGAAAGCGTTCCTTAATCGCCACCATTGGACGAGTACCCGCGGGAGACTCAGCAACGCCACAGCTACCACATAATCGAATATCGAGTAGAGGAGAGGCCGGCGCGAGATCACCTGCCTTTGGCTCAGCGACTCTTGCATCTCCGGCGGCGGCAGTGCCGCAGCCGTATCGCCGTATAGCCGTATCGGTATCTGCCAAGCTCGGATCTTTCTCCTCTTTTTTTGTTTTCTTTATCACCAGGACAAGGCCATGATGCGGCTCGATGAGGCAAGCCAAGTGGCGGCGTGGGAGGGAGGGGCCGGGCGGGGGAAGCCGCCCGACGGGGACCACTGGGGGACGGGNGGGGGCGGGGGGGAGGAGGGGGGCCTGGGGCTCGCTCTCATTTACCTGGGCCTTAATGATAATTAGCCTGCCCTGCCGCGTCGCACCGTGAACCGCGGGGCCGCCCGTCGCCGCCGCCGCGGCGCGGTGTAGCGTCGCAGTGGCCAATGTCCTTGTGACAAATCCACTCGGGAAAATGCTAATTTTTCTTCTCCGACGCTTTCGTGTGACCTCGTCCGCTCGCCACACACCACCGCCGAATCCGACTCCAGAAAAAAATTGAGCGGCCCGACGCGACGCATATGACGGGCGAGTTCCTTTGGCTCTTGGTGTTGGTGCGCCTCCTTCCGTTAGCCCACGCATCATTATGCCGTTCTTTAAAATTCGACTAGGCTTGTACGGGTCTATCTGTCCTTACTACTGGTAAAATCCATCTGAGTAGGTCTTGCGTCTGTGCCATCTGCCATGGTTTGAAAAGTTTACGGAAATATGTAGCATGTTCGTCATTTAACGTTCATTCATCGGTCAGGGCGAATTATCCATTGGTGCAAATACGACTGTGCTTGAATAGGTATTCCAGTTCTTCCAATTGTTATTGTAACGGGAGGATTCAAAAGTGTCGTTAACTAAGTCACACGTGTATGGAGGAAGAGGAGGAGTTGAAGGATTTAGATTCGGATTTAAAGTTAATTTAGTTGGGAGATGGAAGAGGAGGAGGAGAAGAAAAAGAAGAAGAAGGAGAAGAGAAAGGAGAGGAAGAAAAAGAGGATCAAAAAGAGGAGGAATAAGACGAGGAGGGAGCAGGAGAGGAAAACTAGGATGTAGAAGAAGAAGAGGAAGCAGGAGAAGAAGAAGGAGAAGATCAAAAACAAGAGGAATAAGGAGAAGAGGAAGCAGGAGAGGAAAACGAAGAAATAGAAGAAGAAGAAGCTCAAAAAGAAGAGGAAGCAGGAGAAGAAGAAGAAGAAGAGGAAGCAAGAGAAGAAGAAGAATAAGAGGAGGCAAGAGAAGAAGAAGAAGAAGAAAGAATGGTAGGAAAATCTGGATACATGCAAATTATTAAGAATTTTTTCGGGGATGAGTAGTAGAGATGAGTATTAAACGCGTTATCATTATTATTGATTCAAATTAGCCAGATCTGGAATATAGATTATACCTCTCGGCCTCCGCAGATGCAATACCTTAATTTCCCAACGAAAAGGCTTTGAAAATCTCGACTCTCACCGATCTTCAAACTAGTCACCGATCCGTTCCTCGCTAATTGGGAAACTGCCGAGCTAATTGCATCTCGCCGTTCATGGTATGCCGAGTTAACGGCGATTTTCGCCGGCTTAAGGTCCGACCTCGAGGACTCGAGAAATTCCGGCATTTCCACGACTCGCTCTCTTGGCACCCGCACCCGGTGACGACCGGTTTTTTAGGTTAAACCTAATAAATACGGGGAGCCGACGCGACGTTGACATGACATTAGCGTCAGCCGACTTATTTGTCAGTTAGGGGTGGTTGCGCTCTCGGGCTTCGAGGCGGGCGTCGACAGTGCCAGTGGCGTGGCGTGAATTGCGATGTATCGATTGTCATGCCATTTGAACCTATGGTAAAGAATCGATTATTAAGGTGTTCGCTGCGAACACCCTGTCTATCGATCTTTTTCCATAGGTTTAAATGACATAACAATCGATACATCGCAAAGCACGCCACGCCACTGGACAGTGCGTACTTGGTCCTTCGTTGCCGCATGGGTTGCCTCGGCCGCGCCAGCCGCGGAGTGTCCTCCAAATGGCAATCTGATGTGATTTCAGCGGTTTCTTCGTGAACGAGGCAAACATTCTTGACAGGTTTTACAGACCACTCGCGCGCTGCCGCGCCGTCACAAGGCGGACAGGGGGCAGGGGGCGGCGAGGAGGGAGGGGCGAGGGCTCCTCGTGGCCTCGCTTGGCGTGCCAACGGTCTTGCTCATCGCCTCATCTTCGTCTCATGTGCGATTTTTAGTCTGTGTCAACCGATACAATTGAAAGGATTCATGTTTACATTTTCCCCCTGATTCGCAGCTAACCAAATATCATGCACGAGGCAAAGCAACAGAACGCGGAGAATTTTACGACGAATCTTGGTAAAAAATGATAGGAACATGTTTGGGGGACCTGCAGCGTTTGGTTTAATCATCGCCGAAATGTAACATTCGTATATAAGCCGGACACCGCACAGTGGATCGAGTCAATGGAAGAGGTCGGACAAGATTTGGAAACTTTAAAAGCTCATAACTTCGTTCATACAGCAATTTGAGATTTTAAGAGTTTTTTCTTTGATTTCTTTGTAAAATTTCCCTATAAAGTCACCCCTTAAAATTTAAAATGTGACAAATCAAACATCAAAATTTGCAGTTTTAGTCCAAAATTTCCCGTCCGACCTCTCTGATTGACTCGATCCACTGTACGCAAGTGTCCACTGTGTAGTAGTTCCTTAAACAAGACTTAGTCCGAATTGGCTGTGCCTAGGTTCGGTTACCATGACTGTTGACTTGAATAATTACCTGATTGACACGCACAGCCTTTAGACAAAATGACGATCTGGCTTACATGTTTATCCCTATTTTTACCCGAAGAATTTTATCGAAGACCTTGGAGCGGACCCTCCTATAATCAAAACTTCTGCATGCATGACGGTCTCAACTTTATAAGAGCTTTTTATGAACGTGGAAGCTGGTGTAAAACAAGACTGAGTGCAGCATAGTGCCTCACTCTTTTAAAGAGGTATCGTTCGTTGAACCAAAAGTCCACCGCTCTTCCAGGAGCTCAACTTAAAAAACTTCAGCACTCACGACGGCCCTTCGAAATGACTCATAGAGGAAATAGGTAAGGAATGTTTGATTTTTTCAAGTTTGCCGGTTCTCATATTAATTACGGTGATTCTTATTTTGGAATCGCTCAAAAATTAAAAATTTGAATTATAAAATTTACATATTTTCATGAACTTACAGGAAAAGTGATCATCATCCGTTGTCTCCATTTCCGTCGTCATCATGTTCGCCTGAAACAACAAAGTAAAATAAATTAATTTACTTTCAATTGATAAATGGTAGAAGAAATACATGCTTTGAATATTTTAGCAGCGAAGACCAAACTGTAGACATTAAATGCAGTAAACTTCGACAAACTCTCCTCTAAAAGTTTAACACAGTGTTAGGGCCGGATTTTCCTACTTGCCGCCTGTATTTTGCCGCCCTCTTCTCGTTCGTTTTGAAACATCAATAAAAACCATCAAGGGAACGTGCCAGCAGGGAAGGGGTGCATAAGACGCGTTTACTCGTGTTGAACACATTTTTTGGGAAAGCCCTGTCAACACTACTAGCAAAAGGTCACGGAACTTTGCGCGAAAGTCAAGTTTCGTAAACCTATCTCTAAAGGACAAGGCCTTCCATTCATAAGAAATGAACGAAAAAATTATGAAAGAACAAACACAAAATTTGGTTCAATGATTTTAACTTCCGCCGCCGCGCCGCGCCGACCGCACCGTGTTTGGCGCAATGCGTGATGTATTCACGCAGTCTTGTAGGCGCTATGCGTTTCACGCTGACCGCACTGCGTTTGGCGCAATGCGTGAAGTATTCGTGCAGTCTAGTAGGCGCTAATATGAGTTACATGCCGATTGCCGCGCCGAGGGCTCCTCCTTTTCGTCTCAAGTCCTCGTCATCATTTCTCCCTAAGTCGCGCCGTTCCAGGCCAAATTGTGTGTTTGGTTTCTCTCTTAACTCGACTAATTAAAGGTGCTGTCTCTTTTATCACTGAAAGACGACAAAATTAGAAATTACTATACTCTCAGGAAATGAGAGATTTTGTAACCTTTTCTTGTTTGTAATTTTTTTTTTCTTACTCCGATTTTTTTTATACCTACATTTAAAAACATTGCAAAATTTGCGGCCATGGGCCGCGGCCCATGTGGCCACCCGCTTAATCCGGCCCTGCACAGTGTTACAGTGCATTTCTACGTTCTTCAGCGATTGAAAACGAACTAAACCGCTCGTAACGTACCTTCTGGCATACCCTGAGAGTTCCCGACTGAGACTTAATGATCAATTTATCAACCCACATACATGCATAAATGTCTCCTGCAACGCCTTTTCGTGTTCTGCGACACCCAAACGCCGCAAATGTGCCTATCTCCCAAAAGGTTACCGTCTTTTAGTCCGGTAACTGTCCTAGTCTGCCATTGACTTTTCCCTGGTGGTGCCAAATCCAAAACTTGTTGGGGTAACCACCCCTCCTAATCTATCGCCCTAACTTGATGAAAACAGCTCCTCTCAAAAGTCCTCCTCAAAGACTAAACCTCTTTTGCCGCGAGTGGTCACTTAAGCACCTGCCAGCAACCTTGCCTCCGACTTGCCACAATGTATACTCCACCGAACGTATGCAATCAATCCATAGTACACGTACGTATGAAAATACGCACGCAAGCCAGTAGCGATGATGTCCGAGATAATTGTCAAGATACTAGTTTGATTGATTGTAATAAGGTTTTAATCGAAGGAGCAGTGTTCCAGACGAGGGCTCGGAGCGGGCACCCGAGTGCATGCGCAATGTGCAATGTGCATGGAGCTGGTGCTTGCATTCAGATGAACGCATTGGCTCCGGGTCCGAGGCACGGCCCTCGGGCCAGTGCGCGGCGAAAACGAGTTTTCTTCATTTACAGGAGAATTAACATTCGTGCTCGACCATGATCGCCGTGCACGGATGATAAAGACATAAAATCTGTAAACAAGTGTTCTTAGCTGAACTAATCTCGGAACACATGCAACGCTCCGAAGGCAAGAGGATGCAAAGCAGAGCCGAACCGTCTAATTAAGGGTTCAAAACGGTTAATACTCCGAGAAATTTAGAATGAGTAATTTATACGGGAATAATAATGCGTGTTCGTGTGATAATTTCCCGGCCGCGATCCGCGAGGGACCTGTGATGTCACGGTATTAAATATGCATATGCGCATATGTAAACGTATTCTGGTTGCAAAAAAAATGAGCCATGCTATTTTGATTATTTTTCCAGTAGATGTTTTTAATCCTAGGTGAGGAATGAAAGCTCATAGTACAGTTTCAGCTTATTTTGTATACAATTTATTCCCATTTCCGTTTCTCTATAACTATAAAGAAAATGCGACAGTATCATTATAACTCACGTTAGAATGATCGATTATCCACCGAAAATAATAGTCCGGTGCATTCAGGAGACAGGTTCTCTTTACAGCGCCTCTGTTGAGAACGCAAGTACCTACAGCTAACAAGTATCAGTAAATCATCACCGCAAAAACCGCATCCGTTTTTTTGTTAAATTATCTTTTGGAATTCACACGAGAAACTGGGGCTTGTTGCTATCTTTGGTGCGCGATAAAGTCGTTAAATAGAATCGTATATTATTTCAATGTTTTTCCTTTTTCCGTGGAAAGTCACACTCGTCTGTTGGCTTTTAATAGAGAATTTGCAGGTGTCTGAAATTGAATGAATTTCGTGTTTCAGTGGAAACTACTGAGTGAACTGAACACGAGGAAACCCTTGGTTCATGAATTGAACAATTATTGAAGAAGATATGACAAAATGATCTAATCTGCTAAAATACATGTGTTTAAATGGAAAATGCCGCCGATGACGTCACTAGGTGATGAATTTTCTCGGTTTTAAGTCTATTTTTAAACTATTTCCCATACCAGAACAAAATTATAAAAAATACTATAAAATCAGCTCCTTAAGCACTTTTAGATGAAGCAATAAAACATGTGCATGCAAATTCTCCACCCTTAGAAGTGCGTTTATGAACTGTTCAGTAAACCTTGGGTTTTTTTTTCTTTCGTTTCTTAAATTATAGATGGAAAAATCCAGAATCCTGTAAAAATACTTGGTCACGGCCCCATCGTTGGTCGAAATGAAGGGAGGGAATGCAGCAATGGTGGGGTGTTGCGATAGAGGTCCCCACCGTGGGGGAGGGGGGGGGGCTGAGAAGTCGCAAGACACGCTGGGAACGCGAGCGGCGGGCGGTTAGCTTATCGGCGACCACAGGAGATGATCGAAGTGTGATAGGCGGCCCACGGCCGCGGCTCCGCAACGCGCCGCCCCGCTGCTGCTACGCGGCGCGGCGCGGCCGGCGCGACGCAACGAAACGCGGAGCAATAAGGTGGCACTCGCTTGCAGAGCAACCATACACCGTTGTCAAGCACCTGGTTAATTTTAGATTTGAAAGAAGCGGGGGTGTCCAGTGTCGGTCTGGCTCGAAAATTCTTGAGGTACTGGTAAGTTTTTCGGGGCCCCTCTTCTCGAGTAGGACACCCCTATCTAATCAAAACTCTTATCCTTGATGTAGGTTTTTCAAGTTTCGGAGGTCCCCACAGGCGAACTGCCGGGGTTCCCTGATCTACCTGTCGGAATTTCTGAGGTGCCATTTTAAATACGTTTAGAAGTAGAAATGTGGAAAAATCAAGAGGACAAGTTCAAATCAAATTTCCGTTTGCCGCCATGGATTCCCGCGCTCATTTACACATCCACACAAGCACCCAGCGCCAAACCAGGCTTTAATTTTTCCCCGTGCTTTTAGATACGAGTGCTCCGTCTTTATGTTTTTGCACCTAACCTAACTAACCTAACATAGCATAACCTAACCTAACGTAACCTAACCGAGGGGCTGGGTGGATGCATCGCAGGTGGGTGCAACGTCCTGATCCCACTTTTTTGACGGGTCGGTGATGAAACCGACCCCCGATCGACGATGGGACGACCTTGCGGCGCTCAATTTGGCAGCGCGGGGCGGGTTTCGAGATGGTCAGCTGGCGGGGCAGGCTCTCTCAAGAGCGGCGCAAGGGAACCCCACTCGCGTCCTGGCCCGGGCCCCGCAGCACCAAATAAGGTCTCACGCCCGAATCCCGTCGCGACGCGCGGCGCAGCCGACTCGAGAGCCGCATCGCATCGCGCGCGCCGTGATAATACGGGGGCCCGCGCCCGACCGGGACCGACCGGGCCTGGGATCAGGACCGAGGTCCGCGAATGTCAACATTGTGCTGGCCCCTCGTGCCGCGTACGCAACTGAATTGCTCCTGGCTCGCGCGGGGCGCGTTGTGCAACGCCCGTGTAGAAATGTCATTGCATAAACATCCTCAAACCTCAGTCGCGGTCTGTTCGCACATACACGAGCGTTCCTCTCACACCTACCTTCCCGGGGTGCCCTCCTCCGATCCCTCCCTCTCCTCCCCACCGCGGTTGCCGAACCATCGTCCGACCCGCCATTCGGCCAGCTTTGAAGGAAAAAATGAACGTGGAAAAATGTTGTCGAAATACAAAAAAAAAAACTGCTGTTTTCGAGCCGACTAAACCAGTTGCTGCCCTGCGTCGTCCAAATCGGAGTCAGACACGACTAAATTGGACGGATTTACTCGGGATTAGCCTGAGTACATCGGACATTGCCTAATTTTCCCTGTTAATGTATTTTTTGATAAAAAATTCGATTAAAGACTTTCAATAAAACACTAAAACATGAACACTTAAAACTTTTAAGGGATGATTAAATGCTCACTTCATGGATCCATGCTAGGGCTGAATCACGTTCAATCTCGTAACAATCTAACTCAAAGGCAGTCCCCTGCTACTAAGTACATATCAGATAATTTCAGCGTTACCTGCAAGTTAGCAGACAGATACACTGCAAACTGCAGCAGGTGCATTGGGCTTTATACTATGCTCGCTGCCAAATAATAGCCGGTTACAGAGATTTCTAGCTCCCTCACTTGTAGTTAGATTTGCATTATTGATTCTTAAGTAAGGCGTCTCAACAGTACCGGTCTGGCTCGAAAATTCTTGAGGCACTGTCCCTTTATGGGGACTCTCCTCTCCGGTGGGGACCTCCTAATTAATCTAAAGTCTTCCTTTATGTGGGGTTTTCAAGTTTTATCGACCCCTAGGGAAATTCTGTCGGGGCCCTCTGAGCCACTCGTTAGAATTTCTGGGGTGCTGAAGCATTCAAGCACCCCTGGTCAAACGTCCCATGCGTCCCATC